CATGCATGGTTGGATGGATGGATGGATGGATGGATGGATGGATGGATGGATGGATGGATGGATGGATGGATGTTATTACAGTACTAAGTAGAATTTAGATTTCACTTTGACATTGAAGAAGGTTGTTTACACAATTTATCTGGACCATGACTGAAAATTTACAGCAATAAACCCATAAAACATCCAAAGGGGTGAATACTGTTTATAGACACTGTACTTATTATCAGCAACATAAAAAAGACAGATGAAGCATGTCTCAAGTAAAGTTGTATTCATGAGGCTCATTGACCTTTTTACGGTTACTACTGTGCATGCTCAATGTCAGTATTTTGTGATGCATTGTGGTCTAGATAAATCCGTGCCTGCTTCCTCTTCGTTAAAGTCTAAACAGTTTTCATAATATCTATATGTTTCAGCTGTGCTCTGTAGTCATTTAAACACCAGACAACGCTGACGACATGTATCACAATATAAAGACAATAAAACAAATTTATTAACACATTTTTATTTAAAGTCAGAAAAAAAAAGAAGGAATAAAGGACCAAAATAAAAGAGATGAACCCCAGCCTACCAGAAATAGCTAATGTATTCGGTCAAGTGGTGCCTGATTTTGATTTGTTGTATTTTTGGAACCAGAGTCTGCTCTGTGAAGGGGATTGTAAGCCCCGCCTACTTATTTGCACACAGCCCTTTAAATTAATGTGTGTTTGTTTTAATCAACTAACTGATTTTAGCTAAACATATAAAAATATAGTACTTAAAAATACAGCAGCAAGGTAAAAACTAGATCAATATACATCAACACCTACAGAAAAATCATCTGAGGTGTTTTTTCGTTTGTTTGTTTGTTTCATTTTTCGGCGCATTATTTTATAAGCACTTCAAAAATAAACTGCAACCAGATGTTCGGCCAGCTTGACAGGGACGCTCCGTTTCAGCTACTACATCCGCGCTACGTCACTACGTTCGTGAGTCACGTGATCTTCGTCGCCATCTTAAGGGACTAAACTCGTGAATGAGGGATTAGTCATGGAAACAGGCGAAGCTTCAACAGGTGAAAATGCCTAAATGGTGTGCCATTTATTCATGTAACAACAGACATTCGATGAAGGATGAAAACGGGAAGCAGACCCACCGTTTCTTTGTGTTTCCGTCGTCCGAGAAGCAGCCGGACAGGAGGAAACTTTGGGCAAAAGCTTGCAGGAGAAAAGACCCTCTAACCAGAGCTGCGTGGGCTCCTAAACACTCCGTGAAGTATGTTTATGTCTGCTCTGACCACTTCATCACAGGTAATGATGTGCTGTAAATCACTGTTACAAATATACATTTAAGAACTAAAATGTAGAGTTTCCAGAGTGGCTCTCACGGCGTCGCCATTTTGAGGGACATAAATCATGTAAACAATGCGAACTTCAGCTGTAGAACATGTAGCAAAATATCCTGATGCATGCTCAATAATCCATGTAGAAAAATCTATAAAACTTAAGTGAGGTCATGTGGATGGGTTCAGTTTATTTTTTTGAAACCATCCAGAGGACCTGACTTAACTTTTTTTTTAGATGGTAGCAAAATGTGTCATTTACTGATAAAAACCATTGGAGTACAGAGGAAATGTTAAAGATACCCATAGTTCTGACATATTTCTATATTTGCCAGAAATACCCTGATCATAAAGCTGGACGAGGCTCCATAACTAAGGACAATAAAATCTACTTCTTCATGGATTGTAGTTATAATGGAAATAAAAATAATGTGTTAATTTAAGAACCACATTTGAATTGTTTGACCCTGCCAACAGTAAAATGCCAGTTTAGCCCAGTGATGCCAGGCTACAGTTCACCCATGCTTTTACAGTTATAATGGCTAGTCAACAGCCAATTACTTTCATAAATCTTGAAATATGTATACATGAACATATCTACCCTGCTGTTTCAATGAAGCATTGATAAAACGTTGTGGTGCTCTACTTCTTTCTGCTCATTCTTCTGGGTTATAGTTGCATGTTGTTGCAGGCACATTTTCAAGCCACAACAATCCAATTTCTGCATGAACCTGGCCTTGGTATCTGAAGGAAGTTAATCAACATAATGAGATGGGATATATTTATTTATAATCTGAATTTAAATCCATATCAGCTAATTGCTGATATGGATCTTGTGTTTTCAAACATGTTTACAGAGTTAGTCTCTCAAAATGGCTGCTAATGTGAATGAATGATCTGCAGATTTCTGACCAATCAGAATTTTTTTTTCTATTGTGGTAATTTTTTTTTTTTTTTTTTAGGAAAGCCTGTTGATGTTCCTGGTCACCCAGATTATATACCCCACCTGAAAATCTTTGACTCAAAGGGCAAGGCAGTGCAAACCCCACAGGACAGTTTGAGCTTTGACATCACGGACACTTCGACCTCTGCAAACAAGCTAGAAAGGTAAACAATAAATAAAATGTTGATTATTACCTCCCTGCTTATTTGTGAACTCTGGGGTATTTTCTTAGACCATTTGTTTTATATATTTTTCCAATGGCAAATTGGTTCTAGCAAATATTTTATTGTAATTTGAAATATCATAGTATTCTAGACAAAGTTGCACTTTTCTATGTATAAAGACACATGTCATTAGAGAATAATGGTTTTATTTTAAATTCAGATTTCAGCGATATCTGAAGCTGCAGAAGACTCGATGTTCACTCGAGCCAAACAAAATTTCTGCTCTAGTCAACAGAGAAAATTCATCACAGGAAGAGACGGATAGTGCCGACAAGTCTTCTGCAGGTTTGTTCGAAACTTTTTTTATACAAATAATTGCTTAAAACCTTCTAAACATGGCTACATTCCTCTCCCAATCTGAAACACAATGTCTATAGATTGATCAATTTCACTTGAAATATTTAGGAAATTAAAAGATACAGTCATTAAAAAAATGCTCTCACTAACAGTTTTAATGTCAACTCAGGCTCAGGTGTGTGCGGTCCTTCAAGTAAATAATAAAGCAGCTTAATATCAACTTTCTCAACATAATGTGTTTTTATTTTACAACTTTGACATGGCAGAGGCAAGCGATATTTATTTAATGAATGCAGAAACAAACACACATATAAAGTCCTTTAGTCCATTTGCAATCGTGGTTCTAAATAATATGTAGCATTTCTCCTAACGTGATTTTTCTTAATAATATTTAATTATAAGTATTTTTATGCTATTGAATTGAATTAGGCCGCTCACATTACATTGTTTATGTTTTTAGCATCTTGTTTTAGTGTTTAAAGTATTTACTGCTTTATCATGTTTTTTTTTACTGAGCGTATATGTACATGCACATTATTTGACACCCATGCACCACCAGTAAAGTTGAACTTTAAATCTAAGACTTATGCCTAAATATAAGTATAAAAGAAGACATGTAGAATTATTTTAATTCTCCACTTCTGGCCATTTATTTGGTTTTCTCCGGTAGTTCTAGCTGGCAGTCAATATGAACATTTCTCCAAGACTAACAAAGTTGAATCAAGTCCTCTGGATGGATTCAAAATAATAAAAACTGTTGAAATGTTTAGTCTTATCCAAAAGGCTTTGTCAATCTGACGAGCTGCAGTAAACTCAGTCTTATAATTATTAATATTTAATTAATAATATTTGTTAATATTTAGTGCAGCTCCTCAGACTGACAAAGTCTTTTGGATAAAAGATGAAACGTTTCAACAATTATTTTTTTTATCCATCCAGAGGATTTGATTCAACTTTGTTAGATTTTTCTACCTGGATTATTGAGCATGCATCAGGATACTTCTCCAATATGAAAAAAAAAAAAAAAGAATTTAAAAGGTACATTTATTTATTTATTTCATGGGACATTTCATTAATTTGTTGTGTATTTAATAATGTAATTGTATATTTAATGATTTGTGTATTTATTTATTTGGGGGCCAAAATGGGGTAGAGGTAGGGCAGCCGATCTGGGACCAGAAAGTTGTGGTTGTGTCCCTGAGCAAGACACCTAATCCCCGGGCGCTTGCATAGCTGCCCACTGCTCCACCTGGGTGTATCCAGGTGTGATGGGTTAAATGCAGATAATTAAGTTCGCCATTGTATGGAAACATACAAAGATGACAATCTCAGACTTCCTTTCCCTTAATAATTAAATGATACATGTTTTTATTGATTTAATTTCATCACATTCCACCCTCCGTCCTCCAAACCACTAAAATCTAATTTGTGGACAAACCTGGCTTGCGTGGTCCAGTGTTTTTCAAAGTGGGGGGCCGCGACCCCCTGCGGGGGCACTAAGGGGGCCCCAGAAAGCTAGGAAAAAGATTAAAAACAAAGCAAAAATAAAAAAAATTGTAATAATAATAATAAAAATTACCCACTAGGGCAATCTGTATGTCATTTCCAGATAAACATGCTTGAGAGAGAAGTTAGATTTATTTTGTTTAGTTCTTCTGGTCAGCAGTTTGTTGAAAAGTTGTTGTTGTTTTTTTTAGTGGGAATCGAATAGTGTTTAAAACATCTTAGTTAATAACATTTTTATGCTCAGCAGCTGTAATAGTTAATTGAATATAGTAAATAAAAGTTAAAACATTCTAAAAGTTTATGTTTCTTTACATATTTTGTAGCATTATTTGGCTCGGCCAGAAGCTAATGCTGTTTGGGAGCGGGGGCCATGGCATGGAAAAGGTTGGGAACCCCTGGTGTAGACTAATACTTTTGGGTGAAAATGTTTTATTTAAGCGTCCACAGGGTGAAACCCCCAAGACCGCGGCAGAAGGCTTCTCTGTTACGTGCAACGAAATCTCGCGATATTTGGACGACCGAGCGTAGTGGCGACGAGAAGTGGCGTGGGACAGAGCGAGGAGAGTTGTTGTCGAAGAACAAGAGACGGAGGCAGGAGCGGAGCTGAGGGGGTGTGTGTGTGCGTGTGTTTGAGAGGTTCAAAACAAGCAGCATAACACGGCGTGAATGAAACAGGCAAGCTGGCGAATTTCAACATGGCATCCGGAGATACGCTGTACATCGAGACAGACGGCTCGGAGATGCCCGCCGAGATCGTGGAGCTCCACGAAATAGAGGTAGAGACAATTCCGGTGGAGACCATCGAGACCACCGTGGTCGGCGGGGACGACGACGACGACGAGGAGGACGAAGAAGACGACGACGACGATGATGGGCAGCCCATGATCGCGCTGCAGCCATTGGAAACGGACGACCCCAGCTCCATCCACCACCAGGAGGTAATCCTGGTCCAGACTCGGGAGGAGGTGGTCGGCGGGGATGATTCGGATCTGCACACGGACGGTGGTGGCGGCTTCGAGGACCAGATTCTTATCCCGGTACCGGCACCGGGCGTTGAGGACGAGTACATCGAGCAGACTCTGGTGACTGTGGCCGGCAAGAGCTCCGTGGGTCGGATGAAACGAGCAGGCGGCTCCGGTGGGAAGAAATCGGGCAAAAAGAGCTATTTAAGCGGCGCCGAGGCCGGTGGGAGGAAATGGGAACAGAAGCAGGTGCAAATAAAGACTCTGGAGGGAGAATTCTCTGTTACGATGTGGGCATCGGGTGAGTATCGTCAGCCCCGACCGTGTTCTGTCAGCTCCGCTGCACGAGGCCTCGTTACCAGGGCGTTGTCCTGCTGCACCAGACTATTTCCTGGAGTAGCCCGCCGCACCGTCGTGAAAAGCTATTTTTAGTGCAAGTTTTCGATGGAAAACCCTTCCGTAGCATACCGAAATGTTTTTGTTTTGAAGGGAGGCCATGTTTTATGTGGTGCTGGGCGCCGCCATATTCCCGCAGACCAGTAAGTATGGCGGCGGCCCCGAAAAAATGGCGATAGAGTCGGCCAGGCAGAGATGGCGGCGGTGCTCCGGGAATGGAAGCAGCGGGGTCCAGTGTGTCTACAGGCCGCGACGTTTTGGCGCAGTTACCGCACGGTTGCACCGATAACTTCTCTGCGGGGTTATATTACTTGTGTTTATGTTTAACTCTGTTGAAACTCTGAGAAATTAATTATATGTTTAGTTCAACATTTAGCCGTTAGCTCTGGCTTCCGCGGCCGAGGCCACAGCATGTGTGCACAGGCATTAAACGGTGACGAGGCTGTGTCTAATCGCTGCAGTAAGATGAGTAAATAATCCATCCAGGAGCTCATATATTTACTGAAGCCGTCAATTAAATGTTTTGTAAAACATCTAATCAACCTAACGTCCAACTGGAGGCACACCTGTTTGTGCTAAATCTACCACTAGGAAATAAATTGTGACTGTGTTTCTAAAATTGTAAATAAGAATGCACTTATTTCGTTTTTAAAAAAGAGTGTTTATTGGGTAATGTTTTAACTAATATTCACATTATACTTGTAAAGAGACACTGTAGTTCTAATTAAAGGCATTGTTCTTAGAGGAGTATTCTATAGAAACTAAACTAGTTCTTACAGTATTTTATTGTGCTTTTTTTTTTTTTTTTTAAATGGAGCTTCTTAAACATTTTAATTCCAGTTTGGCCAAGAATTGCTTTCTTGATTAATTGGTTCAGAATCAGCTGATTGGTGGGAAATCCAATCACAATGGTTTTCAAAACAGTAGCCATTTTTTTTCTGGATGAGTTCATTGATTGTCAACCTTTCAGTTGTACTTTGATAAACTTCTCAGTAGTTTATGTAATTAAAACCTTAACTATAAGTAAAAAGGAAACTGCTGCACTTAAAAAAAAAAAAAGCATTACATTGAAATGTTTATTGGTAAAAGTTAAACTCGTAAAATGAGCTGGTATCTGTACCAGGTCACACTAGAGACTTGAAAATATACTTAACACTGGACTATGCTATTAACAAGTCATGTTTGAGGGCTAGAAAAGCCTTTTTTTTTTTGTAATTTACCAAATTACTATTAATTTTTTTCTGCAAAATATGTAAAATTATGATTACTAGAGGTAAGTAAATAATTTTTTTCAGTCTCCTGAGGCTTGTAGCCAGGGTGCTGTCGTTATGTTATCAGTTCAGTCTCTGTAATGTCTTCCTAGGTGATGATAAAGACATTGACCATGAGTCAGTGGTGGAGGAGCAGATCGTTGGGGAGAACTCCCCCCCGGATTACTCCGAGTACATGACAGGGAAGAAGCTCCCCCCTGGCGGCATCCCGGGGATCGATCTCTCAGACCCCAAACAGCTGGCTGAATTTGCTAGGTGAGTGTTTCAGTGGCACTGGGCAGTAAACAAACCTGTTTACCCTGTCAACACAGCCGTGATGAACGTGCAGCTACTGTGGCAGTAGGTTGTAAACGTGAAAAGACTTGTGAAGTGTCAACCAGGAGAGCAGCTGACAATAAAGGCTTTAAGAATAAAACTTTCTGTTTAAAACACAGTTAAATTAAAAATGAGATATAATACACAAATTAGCCACAGGATTATGGGTATTTTACGTAAATGAATATATCGCGTTTTAATGCTGTGATGTCGTATTTATACTTTCTGTCCTCGGCCAATGCTGTTAAAAAGTTTCAGGCTTTGGATCTAAAATTTCCAGTCGTTATAAATGTCAACGCAACAAACCGCAAAATTATTAAACAAATATTCACCTAAACCTGCCATCCATCTATCCATTATCTTTACCCGCTTATTCCATTTTGGGTCACGGGGGTCGCTGGTGCCCATGTCCAGCAATCACTGTGCGATGGGCGGGGTACACCCTGGACAGGTCGCAAGTCCATCACTGGGACACATAGAGACAAACGAGACAAACAACCATTCACTCTCTCACTCACACCTAGGGACAATTTAGAATTACCAATCAGCCTAACATGCATGTTTTTGGTCTGTGGGAGGAAACCGGAGCACCCGGAGAAAACCCATGCATGCACGGAGAGAACATGCAAACTCCACCCAGAAAGGCCCCTGGACCGGGGTTTGAACCAGGGACCTGCTCGCTGAGAGGCAGCAGCTCTACCAGTTGCGCCACCGTGCTGCACCTAAACTTACTAGTAAAACTGATATATATAAAACATTTAGGGGAGTTTGTACCTTTATTTGTTTCATGCATAAATAATGTTTAGTTGTTTCTTGTAACAATGGCTCAACTATTTTATTCTTTTTAATCTTATATTATTTTAGGAAATTATTTTCAGAAAATATATTTGGAGTGTTTGTTTTGTTTTTTAAAAAGTGCTGGAACTTCTGTGTTTATTTTATTGCACTGCTTATTTATTTCAATAATATTTTAGCTGCCTGTAAGGATTATAGATAAGGTTTTTGTTTTTTTATTTATGTGCTGCCAACACCGTATTTAACTAAACTTTTCTTTATTTATTTGTTTGGTCATGGGTTAAATTTTCTCACAAGGTTTTTTTTTTGGTCTCTTGAAACAGAATGAAGCCCAGAAAGATCAAAGAAGATGATGCTCCTCGGACGATAGCCTGTCCTCATAAAGTGAGTCTGCTGATGCTGTTTCTGTGTTGATGTCGTCTCTGACTCTGTTTTTACTGAAACTTGTTCAAAACAGTTCAAGACAAGAACAACTGGACTTTATTTTAGGGATGCACGATATTGGATTTTTGGCCGACATGTTAAAACTTATTCAGCCGATGCCGATATTTTATATATGTTCCTTTGTCAGAACATAGCCCTCTTATTTAGGCTTATTTGCTACAAAACTTGTGTAAGAGCTGGTGACATTAATTCAGTAACAGTCATATGATATACATAGCACTTTAACTTATATTAAATGAAAAGTGTTAAATGTTATTTATTAGCATTAATCACCTGCGATGCTGTCTCACTTGTGGAGGCTTGTTCCAGGTTCCTAGCTGCAGTGTGGGATCCTCTGCACTCCTGTGCATGAAGGACAGACTTAAGTTCAAAGTTTTTCTCTATCCATTGTGTGTAAGACTAATCATGCTAACGGGGCTAACACGACGTCCAAATGTCTGTGGTAAAACTCACCCAAGTGCTATCAGCTATTAGCTTCTCAATGACGTCGGAATTGACGGCTTGTAACTCGGGTAACGTTACGTCGGAAAAATATCTCCGACTGGGGACGATGTAGCGAGGCTCAACATACTCCATAAATCTTCGGAATCCGACATCCTCACCAACGAAAAATGAAACTTCCACACGACCAACATTTTGAATTTTCCTCTCCGTCGAGAGATCAAGTAGGCGCACGTGACGTTGTCGCGTTGTGCTGCAGACAGAAACATCGCCTTTTATATCGGTGAGTTATTTTAATGGAATGTCCGATATTGAATTTTAACGCTAATATCGGCCAATACCATGCCGATAATATCGTGTATCCCTAATTTATTTGTAACAGAAGACATTTCTCTTTTCATCCCGCGTCGTGTATCGGACCCGCCAGTGCTGTAAACTGTTACCTTCTCCTGCCTTGATTTAATACAACTGGTAAAACTTACTTCACGTTTCCTTGATTTATTGAGTGTGTGAGTTGCCGCTTCTGAGGGAGGTCCGAGCCGGGGGCCTGAGGCCCACAGCTAGCAACAACTAGTTGCAGTAGCTCGGTGCCCACATCAGCTCTCGTTACAACAGCTGTACACAGGAGGGCCAGCTCATCAGGACAAGACTCAGCTGCACCTCAAGGACAAGGGACACTCATTTGAGGACCAGAATGTTCACAATTTGGACTGAGAAGACAGATGGTTTGAGAGGAGATGAAGGAAGCTATTTATGTTAAACAACAGAAACCATCTTTGAACAGAGGAGGAGGTCTCGGATCTAAAACTTATAATGCAGCTTTAGGACTGATACCCAGTCATTTTCATTCCTATCAGGAATTTCATCCATGTGATCAGAGTGGCTCTCTGTGAGTCAGACTAACAAAGACCCTAACGAACCTCTACTGTGAGGAGTGACAGGGCAATCTGCATATGTATTTAGCTTAGCTCCATTTTTATAACCCGAACCCCACACTCTGTTCTTTGAATTGAAAAAGCTTCTCGGCTGAGAAGAGAAGCGTCTTCTGTTACAGTTAAAGTCCACTTGTTTTTGTCGTGAACTTTTTTGAACACACCATGTCCTGGATGACTGAGAATCTTCACCAGCGTACTGAAAGTTATTATTTATTTTTATTTCCTACAGTTAGTCAAGCTTTATCCAAACCAGCTAATGTAAATAATTTCTTTGCTCAGAAAGCAGCCGGCTCTTATTGTTCTGTGAACGGTACATCAGCGATTCAGGGTGGAATTTATTCATCATTCCACACTGTTCAGGGTGGTTTTTTTAGAAAAAGCTCAAGTAAACCACAGACTGCTCTCGACAGTGGCCTTTTGTTGCACATCCTTACTGCTCTAACATTCATGCGGCAAAGAACAAAGAGTTTGTTTGGTGCTGAAACTGCGTGCTGTGCTTTCTTTGGTCCCCAGGGCTGCACAAAGATGTTCAGGGATAACTCGGCCATGAGGAAGCATCTCCACACTCACGGACCTCGCGTGCACGTCTGCGCGGAGTGCGGCAAGGCCTTCGTTGAGAGCTCCAAACTCAAACGCCACCAACTCGTTCACACAGGGGAGAAACCCTTCCAGGTTGGCCACTAAACAAACCTCTTGCTCCTCTAGACTTCTGTAAAAACCACAAGTTAAAGCTAGAGTCAGGCGGAGCAGCATCGAGTCGACGTGTTGGATTGTGTTTATACTCGATTATTCTCACAGCTGAACTCAGACGTTCTCTCAAGTGTTGATTATTTTCCGCCGTTATATTGTCTTGTATCTCTATCCCTGCAGTGTACGTTTGAAGGCTGCGGGAAAAGGTTTTCTTTGGACTTCAACCTGCGCACGCACGTGAGAATCCACACCGGAGACCGGCCCTACGTCTGCCCCTTCGACGGCTGCAATAAGAAATTCGCCCAGTCCACCAACCTAAAGTCTCACATTCTCACACACGCCAAAGCCAAAAACAACCAATGAGACCCCGTTCGTCGACGCCGAGCCACAAAGACGAAAATAAGAAAGGAAGAAAAAAACGAGCATTCTACTGGCAAACGTGAAACCGCTTTTGAAGACGTAAAGAAAAGCTTGACTTTTTGATTCATAGAGAAAATCTGACAGATTAAAAGACACACAAAAAAACCTGAACTTCACCTGGTTTTCCTGAGCCCCTCTTTTCTTCTGCTGTCACATTGGATAAGGAACACAGAGAACCCCACAGCTCCGTAACAAGACGCGGCCAGCAGTTCTTTCTCCATTAGCACTTTGCTACTACAGGATGGAATCCATGGACAAACATTAGAGATTTATTTTTACCTGAGAAATCAGAGAAACGGTGGTACACGAGTGTTTTTAATTTAGCTTTTATTCCCCTTCAAGTGTGCATATTGTACACTTGTCTCGGGCTGTGTGTAGAATGTGTTTTGTTCTTTCCTGCATTATAATATCATACCCTCAAGAGAAAAACGTTTCACTGCTGTTCCACTTGGTTCCCACGATGGTTGTAGTCATTTTAAAAACAGCTGGATGTTTGCATTTCCACACCTCCTTTTGGTTGTTTTTTCCTCTTAACCACAAAATAACCTTGTATACTTGTATTGTATGGCTGTATTAAAATTAAGTAGACATAGATAAAGGTGTGATTTAAAGTGTTAACCAATTGAACTTTTAGTCCTGAGTTGCTTTATATTTTCTATGGACTGTCTTAACACAGATTGAGTAATATAAACGTCCTCGGAGCCTGTCCCAGTTGAAGTATCTGACGTGTACATTGAAACGACTGAGACCATCACTTTGTTAGAATGTAATGTACAGAAGTCGACCATTAACTTCTTTTGTTCATATTTACACCCATGTATTTCAACTGCCCACAATAAAATGGGTCATTCCAACTCTGTCAAACTAGGCTTGAAGTTTTACTCTTTTCTTTTTGACTCGTGAAGGTTTGTGAAGGATTCACACTATTGTGCTGCTCGTCCGCACGTTTTCCTTCAGTTTTTACTCTATTTCAACAAATCACATCAAAACGTTCAGCTCGTTCAGGACAATCCTGCTTTGACTTGGTATTGGTGCAACTTTAGCTTTTTGACACATTTAGCCTTTTCTGCCATTTTTTTCTCAGAAAATGATTTGAGCTCATTTTTCATCCTTCAAATCTTTCGATCTGTTTCCAACCTTTTACTGCTCCTTTCACATTTTATTCTGCTTTCAGCTTCCTTCTGCAAATCTAAACTTTTTTCAGCTGTTTTGTGCTCCTCTGTTTCTTTCTACTAACTACAATTTTTTTTGTGTGCTGCTTTTTGCTAATTTCATCTTATGCTCATTTCAGCATATATTTGCAAGTTTCAGCTTTTTCTGTTTCAGCTACTATAGCTATTTTATGCTGATTTCAGTTTTTCATCTAATTCCACATTTTTTGTACTCGTTTCAACTTTTTTTCAGTCTAATTCAGCAGAAGTGTGCACTTGCCACTTGTAATTTCAGCTTCTTTGTGTCTTTTTGCTACTTTTCAGCAGTTTATATAAATATTTTATTGCTAATTTCAGTTTTGGATAATTTCCACTTTTTTGTGCTCATTTCTAATTTCAGCCTAATAGGGCAAATGTGTTCTTTCTGCTTTTTTATGCAAATTTTAAGCTTGTTCTACCCTTTCAGCTATCTTTTTAGCAATTGTCAGCTGTTTTCTGTCACATTTTTCATGGTAATTTTTGCTACTTTCAACCTAATCAAATTCTTTCTGCTAATTTTAGCTTGTTATGCTCCTGTCAGCTTTTTTCTGCTAGTTTTAAAAATTTCTGCTTTTTCAGCTAATATTAAGCAGTTTTATGCTAATTTTAGCTTTTTCAGCTAATTCCAAAAATTTTTAGCTCATTTCAGCTCTTTCCGGTTCCTTCTGGTAGTTTAAGCTTTTCAGCTGTTTTTCTGAAACTTCTTCAGCAGTAAGCATCCACACTGCATTTTTGCAGGAAATGCAGTTTCTCTAGTATTAACGGTCTTGAGGACATCTTGAAGCTCCGCTGCGCAGATTTGTGTCAGTGCCATATGGAGAGAGAAACTTATATGGCACTGGTCTGTGTTATCCAGCCTCTATGGGCTAAATTAAAAGTTTTTAATTTGTTTGTAAATATGTTCTTGGGAGTTTAAAATGATTAGCATTTACCAGTAAAAGTCCTGGGAAACAAACCGCCTGATTGATAAAGGAAACTTGTTTGCTGGACTAAAACAAGTCAGTGTTTCATGAAGCAAAGACGGCTGTTCTTCCGTTGTCTCACCACAACCCACGTTGAGTACTCGGGTCTACACCGTCTCTGGTTTTCTGTATAACTTGTGTGTCACCTCGATGTGGGAGGGATCGTCAGCTGCTCCAGTGACCTGGGTGTTTTTCTGACTCAGACAAATACAACCGATTAATGGGTGAAAGAAAGTCACAAAACTCTTACCGAAAACACTGGTTGAGTCGAGGCCAGCTTCCCTCTGCAGTTGACTCCATTTGGTCTGACCAGTCAAACAGCAATGGTTGCACAAAACAGTGGGTTTGATTCTTGTGGAGGAGACACTCATGATGATTGTTGCTCTCTAATCAATCGATGTCCTCACTCGGCTGACGTCAAGTCTTCAGCTCGGCTCTTGGAACCTCAGCTGAGTACGTCTTAATAACTGAGCTGGAAGTTCAGTCAGTGGAAAGACTGAAGCTGCACTGAGTCGACTCGAGCCCATGGAAAAAGGCAACATTTTCCTGACCTAAAGGGAGCACGCACTGTTTTCTGATGAAGAACAGGTAAACTCTTTATATCAGTGTAGTTTCATGAGAAACTGACAATAATGAAAATGCTTTTTTTAAATGGCGCTCAGATGAACAATATGAATCTCCAGCTAGCTGTTAGCTTGTCAAAATTTAACTATTTTTTTCAAAATAAAATGATCTACAACAGGTAAGATGTTTTTTGTTTTTTTGAAGCAACTTAAATGGTGAGTAACAGTTTAAATGGAGCAACTTTAATGTCTTTAGGAGTTACTTTTCTGGACTGTCTTTGTTTCTTTGTGATCCAGTTCCTCTGTTTAGGAAAAAAAAAAAAGGGATTTTACGGCGGCATTTCTGATATTTTTTATTTGTTTGTGTGGGGCTGACCTTGTGGGGTCAAAGGTCAAACATCGGTGGGACGTCTCATGTTTTCCTTTAAGTCAATGCTCCGCTTTTTCTTCCAGTCCTGTTTTAAATATGGACGGACTGGACTTCCACAGACATGTTTTCATGAACGCCCTCAACAGTTTCCCCTCATCGCCCGCCTTTTGTTCAGTTTCACAAATACTGAGCTATAATGAGGTGTGGGAGTAGCTGAGAGTCATCCTCAGCACATACTCTGAGCACTGGCAGGTAAAATTGCGTGACATTGCACATGACGATTTTTAAATATTCTCACAAAATGGCTGTAAAAAGATCTTAGTTTAAAACTCTGATCTGAAAGACATTGTTTAACTCAGTGAAACGTCCACATTCAGAGCCTCTTACGTAGTCTGTAGGATGGATGAACGCAATAAGAAAAGAACGATCACCTACACGAACGGTGAAGAGCTTGCGTGACCACACACATCCTAAAAACTGGAACTAAAAAAAAGCTGCTCTCGCCGAGAGCTAGGCCCAGAAATTCAGACCCAGCAAGGTTTGACGATCCGTTCTGTATTTAGCTATCGTGTTAATGATGCTCAGCTGCACATAAAAGCCGCTTTGTTTCTTCTAGAGTTATATGAGCGTAACATCGGCAGAATAAATCTGCTCCAAGAGATATCTTTAGACTTCAGAGAAGCCACTGAAAGACAAAACCATAAGAGGCTGAAGAGATCTTGTTTTCCCCAGCTACAGCTACTCTGCATAAAATATTAAAATTTACTGTAAACTCCTCTGAAATAAAACAAGACGCCCAACGTGTGTCCTGCTCATCAGTCCATCACCTTAACGGTCAGCAAGAATCCTGCTCCTCACACCCTCAGGAAGAAACAGTCATTATTGAAGTTTTATAGTAAAATAATAATCCTATAGGCCTTTATTTTGAATAAAACTTCTGTTTAAGACGTAACATTCAGCAGAGCCACTGAAGGACACTGGAGTTGTGACAACAATCCTTTCACCACTAGAGGACGATGAAGTCTGCTCAGCCACAATGACCAGACACACATGCACTTATTGGGTCATTATTATCACATTATCATAAGTGCACAGTGTAAGAACCAGTCAGCGAGAGAACAAACTGGTTCAGATTAGAGTTTTAGGATAATCCTGTGACTTCTGCATAAATGTATTCTGATCCTTAAAGGATTTAAAAATTAAGTTTTATCCTTTGAACTCATTGATTCAGAAAAAAATATATATTTTATGGGGTTTTTTTTTTTTTTGCAAAATGATCTGTTTGTGCTTTTTAAATGAGGTGTCTGTGTGTTCTGTTTTGAGCTTTTAATGATTTTTCTGGAGGCGCTACAAAAAGATGGTGCATTTTGACCTGTTAAGGCTCTGAGTGCTGCTTTTAAATCCTCTGCCCGCTCTGATCACCTGAAATGAAAGAAATGGGACAACAAACATCGCTCGTTATCGGGTGGTAAGTGCTTTCAGGCCTTGTGGTGTTTGTGCTGGAAGAGAAATGTCATTCACTGTGTTCTGGGTCTCTGTCAGGGTCCAGTTTATTGTACTGCAGTGAGAAATAAATGTTTTTTATTACTATAAGGACCATAATATGATGACCTCTTGCTTTTTTAATGATACAGTAATGCCAAAACATTTTTAGGCACAAGTGCTGTTATGTGCTTTTATCAGTCAAAGATTGCACAATATGTTGGTTTGATTATGTCTGACTTCAATACTTATGATTATCTCATGTTCCAGAGATAAAATTATTATTTGTTTTTCCACAGGCAGAGCAGCTCAGTCCAGGCAGGTCGAGCGTCGTCAGCCCGTCGTTGTGTCTGAGTGCTCCTGAACATACCGTACTTTCCACCGTACACGTCGCATCAGTCCAAATATAATAAATAAATAAATAATAAATAAAGTGCTGTGTGTTGTCGTCATTGTATGTTCCTATGCAAAGACAAAATTGGCTCTCTGCATTTAACCCATTGCAGCAATTCGGGATTAGGTGTCCTGCTCAGAGACACCACGAGATGTGCAATGATCGGGGATCGAGCCCAGGACCTTTGGGTCCTGGGTTGGCTGCCCTGCCCCTACACCATCTCTGCCCTTAAATGTCCAATAAATTGGAGAAAAAATATATAAATAAGTCGCTTCGCGTATAACTTCCTGCATCTATTATGCATCACCGCTGAGGCTTTGTGTTTGTTATGCGTCACCGCTGACCACTTGGAAACGTGGAATGTCGGCCGTGGGAGCGTGCACGGGAGGACTTTAATAAGAATTTAACAAGATTAACACTTTAAAACAATTATTTGTTTACTTTAAATTATAGCAAAGGTGTGTCTCAGTTTAACTTTTCCTTAATAAATGCACTTTAACGGTCAAATCAGATGCATTTCAAAAATCGATTAGCAGCTGCTGGAGCGCGCAGAGGGACGACTTGCTGCGCATTTTGTCGAAATTTAACAAGACAACCACCTTATATCAATTATTTGTTTGCTCAACATTATAGTAAAGGTCTCAGTTGAACTTTTCCTTAATAAATGCACTTTAACGGTCGAATCAGCCACATTTCGCCTTGGCGGTGCGGCAAAATGCAGCTGATTTGACGTTTGCTCCAGGAGTTCTGAAGCGAGATGAAGGTGGCTCTGTATGGCAAGCCAAGTGTCTCATTAATAGCCACTTTTACCTATTAATGAGACAATTGGCTTGCCATACTGGTTGAGCACCCTCTAGCAGCTGAAAATGGTATTGTTCAATATTTTCCATGTCAGAATGAATG